GAGTTGCCTTTCCGCGATGCTTTGCACCGAGGGATAGCTCCCAGGCACCGAGCAGCCCCACCGTTCCCTCTCCCCGAAGAGAGTACTATCGGAGCCTTTCAGTCGTCCTTGGGTTTTAACACTGGAGGTGCGATGGGGGGGCAGAGGGTTGCAAACCTCCCTCCTTTGCCTAAAACTTTTTTTGCCACTTGTGGTCTCAGGACAGAGGTGCGAGTGCAGAAAGCGCAGCTCCTGCACAGCCATACAGCTGCGGTACCGGACTCCCAAGCCTCCCCTTCCCACCTCCTGTAGATAGCTGTGTCAGTCGCTCATTCAACATCATATTGGAAAATGAGGCAAAATGGTTAAAAGCAAGCCCTGCGATAGTGTATTTGTTTTGCAAGAGCGGCCTGTCCCCCTTGTCCCCCCAGGTTGGCAAGCCGGTGCCTAAGGTCCATTTGAGCTACCGCCCGCTGTGCCAGCACAGGTCGGGGAGTATGTGGGTTTGCTGCGGAGATGCAACTGTAAATAGCTGCCGCACGCACAAAACTTCTGTGCGACAGTGGTGTCATGTTGAGTGGCTGGCTGCAAGCCCATGTCCAGGCTGTTTGCTCTGCTCCTTGAAGTGATATTAGTTAGAAGAGTTTTAAAAATACTATTCAACTTTGGTACTGAAGCCTTTGTTATTATTTATACTGTTATGGCTTTGAAGCCATAATCACGTCTGCAGTCCTGATGGCAATGGGACCTATAAAAACCCACCTTGCATCCTATCAGACACAATCCACTGTGTAATCTTGTAGTCCAGACCAGAGAATTTCAAGTGTGGCCACATGTGAAATTAATGTGTGATCATAACATGTAAGCGTCCTTCTGTTTTTCTGTTGTGTTTTATATTTATCTAAGGCAACCATGAACAACAACTACTCAAAAAAAAATTGTTTTGCAACTTTGATGGCAAATCTTAGCTGCTGGAAAGTTACATTTTGGCTTCAGACCGGCACAACCATCCATCACTCACTCTCTGTCTCATCTCAAACCTTTAAATTAACTGCATGCTGAAAAAAAGAGTGGATGTTGGAGATTGTGTTGATTTCTAAGTTGCTGATAGCCTTTGGATTTAAGTGAAAACCTGGATTCAGGGCTCAAATGCAGTATTAAGCTTTTATTAACATTCATAGGGGTTTTTTGCTGTGGGGAAGAAAGGCGTGCCATTCAAAAGAAAAATTTGGCCATGACAGCTGGGCATTTTGCTGGGTGTTGAAATCACAGAAAACCAGGCTGCTTCAGAAAAACATGTGTGCATTAAAAATAGATGTTTAGATCATTAACTATCAAAGTATGGCTGACAGTGTAGTTCTACTGTTTTGATTTTTTTTCCATGTCCATGCTGTTTCAGAATAATAGAAACTTTCTTTATGTTGATGAGCAAGCATCTGTGTTTCAGTTATGCTTTTGACTTGCATGCAGCATTTTTGCATTTTCAGGGCTGTAAATAATATTGACTGAAGTGTTTGAGCATGGCCTCAGCTGGAGAAGCGGTATGAGATCTGGCCTTCATCAGTGGTGGCCTCCTTCTAGATAGGCTCATCAGCAGTTCGGTAGAAGGTGTGATCTTCAAGATCCTCCGTGTCTCTCTCTTGCACACGTGCATGCGCGCGCACACACACTCATTCTTAATGTGTTCTTCCAAGAAGTTCCACAACTAGAGGGAAGGTAACTGCATGATTTTGATACCAAATACAAACACCCTTTTCTGTCCACTTCTATAGGATGAAGGAATGTAATCAATTTGCAGATCTCACTATTCTCTGCATATAGAAAGACATGGTCAGGCACACTCGGGCAAAGAAGTCAGAAGTCACCATACCCCTCTTTCCCATACTCCAAAAACCTAAATTCCCCTCATAGTGCCCTTGGTGGTTGGAAATCTTGCAGAAGTCCGGAATATAACACCAGGGCTTGCATTTTGCTTAGGGAAATCCAGGTTGCATCCCAACTGAGCTGGGGGTGAAAGGGTGAAATAGTGCTGCTTCCCTTGCCTGTGCATCCAGGTTTCTTTTCCATGGGCTTCAGGATATGCTTCATCCCTACATGAAATGTTCACCTGGTTCATTCCATGGGAAAATGAGCTTTTTTCAGTATGGATATAGCACCTGTCTTAGGCCACTAAAATAAAGTATTAGTGAGGAAGTAGTAAAGGTGTCAGAGGTAAGCCTTTAGGTTTCAGTGATGATCTGGGCACAGGGTTCAAAGGTAAGGATGACCAGATACCTGTGAGCTTCATCATTGGGGGAGGCAATGATTTTGGAGCCATTTGGAACAAAAGGTCTAGTCTAGATAGTTGGTCATTAACTGACTGTTAATATGAGATCTTACAAAAACATCTTTCTATTTGTCTCTAGTTTAACCCAAAGTCAGATTTTGGGGTTACTTTTTTCTCTTTTGAGGTTCTGGCTTCAATTCTTCTCTAGCAGAGCAAGTCCCACTCAAGTCTCTCAGATCACTTCACAAGCACTTTACGACAGCCATTTTCAGGAGATAATGTAATTCTTGTTCTCATCTGAGAGTCTGGAGAACTGAGATAGAGTTCAAATGACCTATCCAAAATATACAGTAAATTAGCATAAGAAATGAGACAGGGAAACAAATTATTTGCTCCAGTCACAGGATTCAACTGCCTTTCCCTAACTCACTGCAACTGCTAAGAAATTCATGGGCCATTCCTCTTGCAATAACTTGAAAAGGGCAGACATGCGTTTTATGCTTCTTTCTGATGTAAGTGGTATTAAATATGCATTGTTGCTCAGTTACCTTAGATAACTGAGCATAAATTCATCCATCTTCCACTTGAAATTCTGTTCCCAAATGTAGCAGCTGAATATTCTTTCTTTTGTTTTCTACTTTTTGAAGGGGGTGGATTATTTTTTTTTGCTTTTGTTTTTAGAGAAGAATCTTGTTAGCATTCCTTAGAAACTCATTAAAATGCTTCCCTTTTGGCTCATTCTCCTAATTTATTAATACCACAAATAACTTTTCTTTGGTGACCCACTTTCATAGGTATCTGAACATCTAGCAAAATTGTAAGTCATCAGGAACACAGTGTAGACTAATAAATAGCATCTCCAGACAGAGGAAAATCAAGACACTTCTTCCTTTGCCACACAGAGTTCTACACACCACACATACAGAAAATATTGCTCTATTCCACAGCTTACTTGGCACCTTTAGTCTAAAAGAAAGCACTTTACTGATTGCGTGATTAATTTAAAGGCCAGAATTTAGGATTGCATCTATTCTCCTGGCTGAATTCAATTTTTACGTTACATTCACAGTGAAGAAACTGCTTGTTGCATAAATATAAATTGAAATATTGTTTTGTGTGAGTGTTCAAACAAATAGACTTTCTCTTACAGCTCCCAGGGCAACCTCCCAAGTCTACACTGTTATCAAAACCATTAGGGTTTGACTAATGTATTGGTTTTTATTGAACTATCATACCTGCTTTGTGATAAGTGTAGATTTGCTTAGAAAAAGAAGATAGTGATTTAATGAGTACGATGGACAACAGGCCACTGGAAGTGGTAGGCTTTACAGACTCTAACTGAGGTAGAGGCTAGGTAGTGTAGAAGAATACACTTATTTTCACACTCACTTATTTCAAAAGGTAGAGAGGTTACTTTTTGTGAACTGAAGCTGTACAGACAGACTTATCACAAGGGGTGATTAATCACCTTTTGTCCTGCAGATGCTCAAACACTGGTCATGTGTTAAGGGCAGTCTGTGGTTGTCCCAGCCCAAGGATACTCAGCACTGCCGCCTTCTCTCCGAAGTCTGCTGGATAGCAGCCCCCTAACAGGAGAGCATAAGGCTTATTTGGTGACTTCTGATGAAGCTTTGTTTTCCTTTTCAGTAAGTGTGGACGTCTGTGTAAGTGTGAGAGCATCATGGTGGCGTTTAAAGGAGTCTGGACTCAGCCCTTCTGGAAAGCCGTTTCGGCAGAATTTTTGGCCATGCTCATTTTTGTCCTCCTCAGCCTCGGTTCCACAATCAACTGGGGTGGAGCAGAGAAGCCCCTGCCTGTAGACATGGTCCTTATCTCCCTCTGCTTTGGACTCAGCATTGCAACCATGGTGCAGTGCTTTGGACACATCAGCGGAGGCCACATTAATCCTGCTGTGACCGTGGCAATGGTCTGCACGAGGAAGATCAGCCTCGCCAAGTCAGTCTTCTACATTCTTGCCCAGTGCCTGGGAGCCATCGTGGGCGCAGGCATCCTTTACCTCGTCACACCACCAAGCGTGGTGGGAGGCCTGGGAGTCACTGCGGTAATCACTTCTCCTCCGGCTCTTAGACTAGCTTAGAGCCTGAGAAAATATAATCAGTGTCACGCAGAATAAGGAGAGCTCAAGTAGAGATTTTAAGAGCTTGCTGGTTTATTTACAACATCTAGACAGGGCTTAAAGCTCTCCTTATGATGGGTTTATGCAGTGTAATATCTATAGCTGTTCTTTTTATAGAAGTTTTCTTTCCTAGAACTTCCCCAAATCTGATGACAGCAGGTGATGTTAATTTGCATACAAAATTTAAATAATATATGCGTGAAATGCCATTTTTATATGGGCTGGGGAGGGGGAAATTAATTCTATGCCATTATGATGGGGATTGAAAAAACATCAATTTAAAATGACATACTTTTGAAATAGATTGTGGCTTAGATTTCAGCTTTGTTCTAAACTAATAAGGAATGCCATCAGTTAGCCCTGTTGCAGGACTTATTAAAAATGCACTTGAGCCGCACACTGCTTAATTTTTAATTGAAATTTAAATTAATTAAGTCAGGGCTAATTAATGAATTTATAATTGAATAGTAAATTACAGTGCTCCCAAGAAAAAAAATGGTGAAGGGGAAGTGCAGCATTTGCAAATCCCTGTGTAAAAATAAACTATACTTCTGCAGTCTAACTTTGAAGTTCTTGTTGGATGTTTCTTTTAAGCCTTCTGTTCTCAGTCCAGCAGTAGTTTTCCATGGCTCTCAAAAAAAAAAAAAATTTTTTTTTGAAAAAAAAGGGAGAGGGAAAGTGTTGGGGGAACACGTATCTCTAAATTTCATTGTTATGTTTCACTGTGTACCATTTAGAAATACCTTTCATTGAAATAAAATTAATGTATGTGGTGGCTTTCTGATTTATGAAATCACCTTTGTTTCATCTCCGGTGTTTTTTTCCCTTCTTCCAGGTACACAGGGATCTTTCCGCTGGCCATGGACTCCTGGTGGAGTTGATAATTACATTCCAGCTGGTTTTTACTATTTTTGCCAGCTGTGATTCAAAACGAAGTGATGTCACTGGTTCAGTAGCTTTAGCAATTGGATTTTCTGTTGCAATTGGACATTTATTTGCTGTAAGTTAATGGCTACTCTTTAAAAAATAAACCCCTTGTCCCTTTATGACTATTTCAGAAGTAAATGGAAAGTTCTGTGACCTTTATAGCTGCTATAGCTATATAGCTGCTATAGCTATATAGCTGCTATATTCTTCATGGATCCACGCCAAAACCCTTTGGAGTAGGAGGAGGGTCCCCTTGGACAGGGTGTTGCATCAGAGGTTTTGTTAATTTTGCGATAACACTTGGGAGAGTGACAATACTTGCTGTCAAGATCAGAAGCCATGCAAAAACAGGGTGTCCCCATAGTACAAGGACTAGCAGAAATTGAACCTTCAAGATTTAATAACAGGTAGCATTTTGTGTCTGTTTTAGATCAATTACACCGGTGCCAGTATGAACCCTGCTCGATCATTTGGACCTGCTGTCATCATGGGGAGATGGGAAAACCAATGGGTAACTCTGCTTTCATGCTTCCTTCACCATAGTGACAAACAGCTATCAGGGTTTTTCATACATCATTTGCTGTTAGTTATGTATCCCAGTACGTCCCATAGAGACCATCACTGAGGAAGGCAGGCACTGACCTGACACAAACTTAGGTACAATTATGCTCCTCACCTAGGACTGCGGTGCAGTATGCAGCACATTGGAATAGCGTCTTGCTATTCGGGGGCTGTTTTGTGGAGATAGTAGCTGGGGTAGAAAGGAAATCATACAAAAAGGTAAAAATAAAAGCAATCCAGTGAGACCGAAAGAAGAATTGAACTGCTAGAAAGAAAAATCCTCCAAGGCAGATTCCAAACCCCCCAGTCACGCTGGTGAGAAGTTATGGAAGTAATTCTGTCGGCTTCACGTTTCACCTGGTTCTGCGGCAAACTGGGGCAGACGTGTAAAATGAGAGCAGAGACCCTCTGTGATCTGGTTCCCTGGGGAGAACCTGCCTCGGCAAACGCCCGCAGTGAGAGATGAAGGGGTTGCAGTCTGGTCTTTGCAGACCAGACCAGATGTTACCTGCTTCAATTTGAAAGCGTCAGCTTAACTAGGAGTGTTTGCGCAGGAAACAATTTGATAAACAGATTGTGAATGATGCAGTCATTTTCCATAGCATCCCACTATTAAACTTATTAAAAACCAATTTGCATTTTATAAAGGAGAGATGGATTGCAGCTCAGCCTCACCTAATTAAAGACAGGGAAAGCACTTCTAGGGACAGTGTCAATGCTAACTGTAAGAGCTGCATATCAGAGTGCATATAGGGATTTTCTTGACTTTTAAAGTATGAAGCCCACATTGCTCCCACTGCAGCTAATAACAGAAATGGCATTGTCTTCAGGCCCTAAGGCTCCAATTCTGCAAACACGATACCATGTGTAACTTTGTTCCCAAGAGTTATCCTATTGAGGCAGATTTACCCAGTTATCAGTGAATGGCTTGTTCATACGAAAAACTGCTGTAGTTTTTCACAAGATTAATTATCCATACTCTGAGGGAGCCTGTAATTTATAACTAAAGCAGTAAACAATAAACAAATGTACCATGGAGGAACTTGTAGGAAAAGCTTAGCTACAGTCCTGGTCACTTGGAAGGATGGTGTCTTCTCCAGTGCAGTGACATTGGCATGCCACTGACAGAAGCCCGTGGGCTTCTGCACCTACTAATGTTACACAACTGCTGCCTGTCATGCTGAAATAGATAGGTACCCTACAAAGTTGTGTCTGTCGGTTGTATTTGCTTGCCCAAATTAGATAATCAGGTAGCTGACTGCTTGTTGGTTTCTGCAGGATCAGAAGACAGATTTGGAGTATTTTGGAAATGGGAGTCTGAAACACTGAAGTAGAACTGTTTGTGTGTATGCTAGGAAAGGTTTTGTTTCCTTAAAAGTTTGTTGTCACCTTGGGTGAAAATGAGAAAGAAAATCAGTTTTCTGCATTATTGTTTATTTTGTGTGTCATCTTGCAAACACTCCATATATGTTGTTTACAGCTGACAGTAAGCAATGAAAATTTAGAGGAGGGCTCTTGGAAAGAAATGGCTCAATAAAACTTGACAAAAGTGTTTCTCTTCAAAGATGTGGGCCTGCTTCTCAGTCATCTTACCCCTGCTAGTTTAAAAGCAAAGCTATGCCAGAGCAGCTATATGGTGTATGTGACTACAGAGCTGTATTTGACAAGTCATACATGACTCCAACAGGATCTGTGGCCTTTTTTTGTTTTTTCTCAAGAAGTGTTATAGCTATGGTTGATCTAACTAAGGATGATGAACCACCTGTACTTTTTTGTTATTGGACAAAGTTTTAAAAAAAAAGTTAAATCTCCCATAAAGAGGGGGGGAAAAAGCTGCTTTCTATTAACAGAAGGTAGGGCAGCCAGAGAGGATGCGGGTGTGTCTGTCCATGGGAGATGTCCGTAGCTTTGCTGCCACTCAGCTGGTCTGCTTGAGAAGGTTGGTAACCAGACATACAGACTGAAATCTTTTTCAGGCATCAGGGAAGTAGTAACTGTACCTTACTGACATGTCAGCATAGGTCCCTCTGCTCTGCTCCGTGGGCTCCACTGGCTGGCGACTCCCTAAACGCTGGCACAAGAGGAGGTTTTGGGGAACAGCTACACCCACGGATGCAAGGTGGTTTTGATGACTGGATTCAAGGTGACTAGGGAGAATTTCTGAAGGGGTTGAAATACATGTGAGAGAGAGAGAGAGACTGGGAGCAGGCAGAAAAGAAAAAAAAAACAAAACCAGGACTAATGCCATTAACCGCCTAAGAGACTGCCTTTTGACCAACTTCATATGTGATTTTTTAGAGCAGTCACTTAATTGCTGATCTCCAGGTCACCACCTGTGAAACCTATGGTAGTTACACTTGTCTGCCTAATAAACTGGTATGATGGCAAATTTCATCCTAGTTCATGAAAGCCAGGGAACTATGTGACCACACATTTCTGGAAAGCAGACTTGGTTTGAAAGATTGGGCATGGGTATTTTCAGAAAGTTTTCTGGGTGAAGTCTGTAGTGACATGCTTTTCTCTGAGACCCTGGCTTCTTTATTTGCTCTAAAGCTTAATGCCTGTCTTTTTTCCACCTCTTTTTGCAGGTATATTGGGTGGGACCAATAATAGGAGCAGTCCTTGCTGGTGCTCTTTATGAGTATGTCTATTGCCCAGATGTTGAACTCAAGCGCCGTTTTAAAGATGTCTTCAGTAAGGCTGCCCAGCCATCCAAAGGGAAATACATTGAGGTGGATGATAACAGGAGCCACGTAGAGACCGATGACCTGATCCTGAAGCCTGGCATAGTTCATGTGATTGATATCGACAGGGGTGAGGACAAGAAGGGAAGAGACCCATCCAGCGAGGTGTTGTCTTCTGTATGACTAGCAAGAAGCACTGAAAGCAGAGAGCAGCCTGCTAACCTGTCCACAGATATCCTTCCACCTATTAAAGAAACAGATCTCCTCTAAACTGAGCATCTACCATTTCTTAACAGGTATGGTGCAGGCAGATGCATGGTAGTGGTGTCACCAAACCATATGCCTGCTCAGTTGGGATATTAAGACTTTGCTATAATTAGGATTCCCCATCTATTATTCCAAATTAAGAGTTATTACTACTACTTTCCTTCCCTTCTTTCTGGAAAAATCCCAAAGTAAAAAAAATAGATGAAAGCATTCTTCTTTAATAAATCAGTCAATAATGAGATGAAGATAGAGATGTTTAACATTCAGATTGACGGTTAAGACGTATCAGGAAATGCCTATAGACATGAAGACCTACTTATCAGATTGTTCTTCTGACATTTAATTGGCCGTTGTCAGCTCCGATTAGAACATCTTATCCATTAAGTGTTCTCTGCAAGGTTCAGGGACAGCACCAACAGTGTTTAAGAGTTTTATCCACAGTCAAGCAAAAGAGTACTGTTTCCACTCACGTACATCACTATTGCCTTGCAAACTACCTCTGAAAAAATGATACTTTAATAGATTTTAAAAAAAAAAATCAGCCCATCAAATTTCAGTCATGTGATTTGCAGTATAAATATATTACCTTCATCCCTTCCCAGGAGTAAATACACTGAAATTGAATGTTGAAGTCTACTGTAATAAAGCTGCAAAGCATTTGACTGTACTTCATGCTCCCTCTTGCCATTGTCTATCTGGTGAAACATTCTCCTGGGGCTTGACTATTGACCATTTAGTGTTAGCAGACTCTCAAGGTCATGCAAAGAATATAAAGGCTTTCCTGTTACTTAATAACTCAAATAAGAGATATCGGAAGAAAAGAAGGCATATCTGTTTTCAGTGCACTTGTTCAAATACACATTTCTGTGCTAATTTATGTAAACTAAAGGTTTAAATTACTTACCTACTTTCTTACAAGATGGTTGGAGATATGGGGGTTTTAATTTATTAGTAATGTAGAGGGTTTTTAACTTTTAACTGTATTGAAACACTGATTGGGAAATATTTTTTTATAACTGATCATAAAAATATGACTGCTTCTGGTTTTTTGTTGTAACAGATACCTAACTATTTGAACAGGATCCATGCTTGTTCCAGTGTTCATATAGTCTTAATTACACCTCCGGCAACGGTCTCTTTATCTGTTGTTAGGACAAGATGCAAGCACTTGCAGCATTTTTTAGGGGGAAAGGGACATGACATATGTTTAGTAATCAGTCTTTCCCTTATAGAAGTATTTTGACAGACATAATCACCCCAGCAGAACATTTCTGTAAAGCTGTTGCTGACTTACTGCTTTTGTTTCTGATCAGTGGCTTTGAGTTTTACAATATGCAGCTGCAGAGCAGTGAGGAGCATGGTATTATTACTGTAATTGTATAGTTTTTATTTTGAAATTGAAAAGCTACTCCTGCCTATTTAGCAATAAGAGGGGGAAAAAAGCATTAGTCCTGACTGTGGGCTGTAATAGCCTTGTCTGCTCTTTGACATACTCTACATGCAATCTTTATTACAGGGAATTAGATGTTTCTAATGAGATCATAAACCACTGCTACACTCAAATCTGTGCACTATGATCCAAAGGCAATTCTGCTATCCCAGCTCGCAGCACTGCATAGTCCCAGCATGTCCTGCCATACTCATTTCCCTAGTTTCACACTTTTCTGGTCTTAAACCATGTTAGAGTATCACACAAGCTCCCTGCGTTGAGCATGAGATTCATGACTCCTCCGTGCGTTTGCAGTTGGACCACGATCTCTTTCCTGCACACCTGCAGGCACAGCATGTGGCATACACGGGCACAGGACAGGGCTTCCTTGGGTGACCCAGCGACAGCCCCGCTCCTGACCTGTGAGCCCTCTCACCAGACACGGGCCCCATCCCATACCTGCTGCAGCATCACAGAAGCGGCTGCCTGTCGAGTCTCGTAAAATAGCTGATAATTGTCCTTAGCAGTGCCTCAACACACAGCGACAGCATCGCAGTTCAAGGGCATGAGTGTGGTTAGGGACCTGCAAGGGACAATGTCAAATCACAGATAAGAGCTCCTTCCCACAGCAAGGACTAAGTCTCCTGGGGAAGGGCAACACAGGTGTGGTATTTAGACCCCTGCATACCTCTGCTCAGATGGATAAATTCCATGCTAGACTCAGTGAGAAAGATCAAAACTTGTGGGTTTTTTTCTGTCTAGACAATTGTTCTGGCTTTTTTTCCCTTTTTTTTTCCCCTTCAAATTCTGTGTTTGTTAAAGGGATGCTTTGATTAAACCTTTTGCATGGCTTAAACAGGTAAAGAAAAGAGTAATACACATAGTGCTGGTGGATTTTTAAACAAAGGTTTGCATTTTTTATTTAAAGAAGACACTCCTTAGAAGCTCTTAATTTGTGAATTTTGCATGGTACTGTGTTATTTAAATAAGAAGCTGTGATTTGTTTAATGCTTAAGGGTCCTTTACACAAATGGCTTGATACATATTTTCCTCAGCAATCCTGATTCTGCTGCTGAGGTGAGCGTAACGCAAGCGTAGCACCACCCTCCGCAGTTAGGAGGATTTTTTTCCTGGAAACAGTCTGTATTAGTGAAGTGTGGCAAAGACTCAGAACCAGTCCCAGCAGAACTCCTCACTCAGGTATTAGAGATAAGATACTGAGGATCCTGCAAAGGTTAGGAGAAAGAAGGGAAGCTAAAATAGAGACCACTAAGACAGTAAAGGATGTTGGACATTAGTAAGAAAGCAAGATATGGTAGGTCTGCTCCTGCTCCCGCAGAATGAGACTCATGGAGGAGTTGTTTGTCATTGACTACAGTGGAAATGATCCTGAGCTTTTCTGAGGCCTGATGGCTTCTCTCATAACCTTCCCTGTGTTGTTTCCAAAACCAGAATCCTTTAGCAAGATACTTAATTCTGGAAGGAGGTGCTTTCAACTTAAGGTTTATGACCCACCCTAAAATAAGTCCTTAGGAGTGGGCATCATCACAGATGGTTCTGCCCCACCGCAAGAGATCACCATTCATGTAAGGGAACGCCACTTTTCAGCATCCCTTAGGACTCAATTTAGCTTTGACCTGCAGGGATATGTGCTTCTCTAAGCTGTTTTGCAGTGGTATCATCACTGTACAATAGTCACATTTGGTTAAATAATAGACTAGCGTGACCTTTTTATGAATTGGAAATACTTTTGCCTTAATATGATTTAAAAATACGTACTTTAGTGCTGTTTGAGTGAGATTTCTGTTCTAAAGGCCTTCAACTCTAAATTGCACCTCATAACATAACTTGGTGTCTCCTTAAAGTATTTATTGGTTGGGGTGGGACATGGTAAATGTCTTTTGTTTATGATGGTGAATGGATATCACAGGAAGTCTGCCAGGCATGTCGTCATTCTGGGGTCCTAAAAAACACATGGATGAGTCTCTCACTCCCCCATGATGGCACGATTGTTTCTAGTGCTATATTTGCACTTTAACAAACACATTCAAAATACTTAATGACTGGATTTCAGAAAAGAAAGGATGGAAGCTAAGGGTGGTTTCACTGAGGCATACAAATACCTTTTGGGTTGCATGAACTCTGAGGAGATTATCAGCCAAATTCTAACAACTTTCAGGAGAAAAAAAAAAAAAAGAAACCCTGCAGCATTTGAATTGCCATTATAACCCTTCCTCTGTTGAAGTATTTGGGAGCTGTATTTTTCATTCATTCAGTGGAAGTAGGAGCAAGACTCATCTCATGCAGTGTTTAGCCTTGTCACATGTATTTGCATATAAGATTTTAAAAATCTGTTTTATTTCTGATTATTAGTAATTAGTATCTGTTTAGAAAGCTAGATGGCCTTCAGATTTCCACCTTTCTAGTGGCTGGTGGCAGTGCAGTTGCTGCTGTGCTCTGCAACATTTTATCTGCAGTCTGTGTAACACATTCAGGAAATTATACACCATCCAGTATTTTTGATCTAAATAAAATATGTGAGCATTTACATTGTGAACTTTTCTTTCCAAGGTGAGAAATGAAAACACCGTGCACAATTTTTTGTATCTCAAATCAACCTGTGTGTATCTGAGTTTCTCAAGGACTTACTAAATAGACAAGATGCAAATATAGACTGAACTATTTGTTAGCCACTTACATGATCTAAATTATACTGATGCAGTCTCTGTAAATTAGGACAAATGAGGTAAAGCAAACTATGTACATGGATTTTTCCACAAGACTGCTTATTGTTGAAATGCTTAGTCACCATGATATCAGAACTAATGTTATAGGACTTAAAATTTCCGTGTGTAACATTTGGAATAATCTACTGAAAAATACACTATAAAATAATACATGATTATCTGGTTCCAACTTGTATTCTACTGTATCTCACACTATTGTTGCAAATAAATTATCATCTGTTTAAAAAAAAAAAAAAGGCATCATGTGGTCATTGGAACGGTTTAATGATTCTAAAGCTCAGGACTAAGACATAAGGAAAAAATCCCAATCCAGCCAATAGAACATGTCAAAGAGGGAGATGGAAGTATGTGCAGCTGATAATGAATGATTTACTGTGAAAAAATATTCATCAGTGAAGAGAGGTGATTGTGAAAGAGGTTTAATATCTTTATGGAAACGAGCTAAACCAATTGGAGGAAAAATTATGCTGGTATATATACATCACCTGTTTTGCCAGATGCTTATAAAACTCATAGGATTAGTGTATTTGAAAAGTGATAGAAATTACACTGACACTGCAGAGTTGTTTTGCTAAAGCATGGCTTGTAAGACCAAGCTCCCATGAGGAACTTCAGCAATGGAAATCAGGTCCTGTAGCAATTACATTTCTGGTTGTCTGTCTCCTTGGTTGGAATGCAAAGTTTAGCTCTTAAGACACATATGACATTCATGGAGGTAAATTAGGATCCTGAAAATGATAATATGAAAACCCATCACCCATCTAATCAATGGGAAGAGTTGAGAGGAGACTCACAACTGCAACTCACCCCTTGCAGAGGTTCAGTTCTTGCCTCCAGCTTCTTCATAGCCAAGCTCCAGCGGCACGTCTCAAGAGGCTTAAGGGGGTGTGTGTGCGCGTGGCCTATAACTTTCTACACACATGATCTGTATCTTACTGAAACAGGTTCCCAAGGGAATTTAGGCAGAACTAATAAAATTATTTTGGGGACACAATCACATAAAGCAGGAGCCAATTTGGCATTTTGAGATACTCATCAAACAGGAATCTAGGTGTCCGGATAATTAGAAAGACAAACAAGTTGTGATGCAGAGTTAAGATGAAGAAGGGTCCTGGGAAGAACAGGAAAGCAACAGTGCGGGCAAGGGAGATCTTTGTAGTGTACATCTTTCTTACCCGATGGTTGCTGGCACTGTGGTATCACTTACAGGACAAAAATGTGGTCCCTGTTGTATGAGGACATGCATGTAGGCTTGTGGATCACATCTGAGCCATCGAATGGGAGAGGCTGAGCCATGCTGAGTGAGTCATGTCCTTACTCTAAGCTTCAGGGGCAACACTGGCTTCAGCAGCAACAACTGCAAACAGCAACTGTGGCTCAGTCATCTGCTTAAAAAGAGAACTTAGAGTGTAGATATTCCCTATATCAGCTTCCTTTTGAACCCTCCTTTGGCTTTAGACTCCTTTATCTGTTGCAGATTGTGGTGTATTGCAAGTGTTATAAACTGCTTTATTTCTATCAGACTGATAACTGTTATCTTGGCTATTAATTTCTTTTGACCTTTCTCACTTCATTAGAAAAGCAATCCTTACAAGTACAAAGACTGTGGAATAATCTAGCTAAAAAAGCTATCACAAGGTCCTTTTGAAAGGTGAAAAGAGCTTATATTATTTGTCTCTCACCTTGCCCTGTGTGATGGGGAGAGGCAGGGGCTGTCTGTGGGTGTGTGTGTGGCACACAG